TTGCACTTGGAGACCGAGGATTTGCGCTACTGAACATTTCAAGGACCTATATTTCGTGCAACTTTCTTCATCATCTGCATTTCACATATACACAAATTCATATGCGATATTCGATTTAAATACTACGGAAACTCTCGCGCCATTTTAATCAACGAAATCACTGATAAAAACACCTCATCACAAGAGCGCTTGCCCGAAGCCACCGTCGAGATTCGTTGTCTAATGAGAATATTTGATTTTTATCAGTTTATCCGAAAAATTCTCCGTCGCGCGAACAAAATGCAAGACAAGGCGAGCGAGAGAATAATATCGTATCAAACCCGATTTAACAGACGAGACTAGAAACCGATATGCACATTCGAAGAGCGACAGTGAAATAGGAATAAATTTGTCAGGATTTTTTTCTGTTCGAGGTGAATCAAATACACGGAGAGAAATGATGCCTTCTTCACTTCCTAATCAGCGATTGCTTTATCAGGTTCGTTCGACCTGCATGATTACGTCGAATGTACAGAGATAACGTCGTTATTTCCTGAGTGTGATATCGGATCACCGTTTTAATAGAGTTATTATAGAGCTTCATACGCGGTATCAATGTTACAACAGAAATGTGACGTAAAAAGTATCGGACACAGATATCACAAAATTGGAGATTTTATTTTCCTTCTTTCTGAACGGAATCAGTTGCAATAGTTGTTACGGCTAGAAATAGCGAGATCAACTCTTCTTAAAGTCTCTTTCTAAGAAAAATTACTTTTATTGATAAAAGGGAAATTTAAAAAGAAAATTTATTAATAAAAAGGAAATTAATAAAAAGGAAAGTTAACGTCGACTTGACGTTAAGATGTGATATCGTATTATGTTTATATATTCCTCAATTTTCTTTCAATTAATCGATATTAAATAAAACGTGTTATAAAACAATATAATATTAAAATTATGTGCTCGATGAATTTTACTATAAAGTACTGTCGAATTTCATACACAAACAACCAATAACTCAATTAAAATCGAGAAACCAAAGAGTCATGAATATGTAATAGAGATATACATATAACGCGGAATATAATATGACAGGTATAATAAAATACAATCGCGCGAAATGTTAGAACATAACACGATTACAAAATAATATTATAATATCATAAGATAAATTAGATTTTTCTGAATACATTATTATGCATATATTGATTAAACATTGAATTTCAAACTATTGACGAGCAATGAACCGACATCGGATTTTTCTCAAGAGAAGAAAAATGCAGTCTTGTAATTTAAACCACAGACATGCTTCCGTTCGATTAAACTTACAATGCGAAGCATTCTCCACGTCTTACCGGAAGCTCCCTTCCCGTTCGATTGGGATTCCGGACCACCCGTTAGCGCTAAACACGCCCGAGAAGTCCGCAGACACATCGCTCTACGCAGCGGAAGTTTCAGTTTGGGGAATCCTCTGCGATTATTAGTTGGACAAGTAGTTCCAGCGTCTCTCGGGAACGACGATGGTCCTGGCGGGGTTAAAGCGAGGCTTGATTAGGCGCGGCAACTTGTTTCCGTCGCCAAACCTCCCCTTTGCGCGAACTTAAACCACATTAAATTGCGCTTAAGTCAAGCACGTGCTGAAAATACCGTCGTAAACGTAGAGAGAGAGGGAGAAAGGGTAGGGAAAAGGGCGGCGGGATGGAAAATGTTGTTGGTGACGGAAACGCACCGCGGCAAGTATGTGCGACTGGAATAATGGCATCTGGTAGGAATATCTTGTACAAATTTCCAAGCGCCTCTTCGCTTTAACACGTAACACGCCCCCGCGACAATCGAAACCTGATTATAATTAGGCGTTCGTGGATTATTCCAATTTTGGAAACTTGAGCTCGCGCAACAAATAATTCTATACATTCAGACAGTTGTATTTTATTCCCGAAACGTGCACGCTTGAAATTCTGGATTTACCTGTAATTTATAATTACCAAGCGGCATATACGGCTCTAATATAAACTAATTGCATTGCGATAAGAGCTCGTGACCTGGAGAACAATCTAATATCATGAAATTTACATTTCTCGCGCAATTCTTCAGGCGAACCTAGTAAAAAGGTAATCTTTTCTACCTCTCGTAAGACTTTTATTTTCTGAATTATGAATTTTTTTAATTAGAATAATGATTCTTCCACCGTTTGAGTTTCTCCACGATGAGAGATAAAGCACAATCTAGAAAAGGTAGCAAAGTATGATTAGGGCATTCCTATCAAACGCCACTCCCTCACTTGAACATACTACGCCGAAAAGCGTAAAGTTTTACCAAGATAAAAAAACTTGGGAGAATTTAATAAGCGAGTGCAAAGATGTGTACACGAAGAGAGATGCTGCATGTTTTTATAAAGATCGAACAAGCATGTGCGAGTGGAAAAGTGACTGCGAGATATAGAGTAACTTTATTCGCGAGAAAAGTTATTTTCTGCGAAATGCATCTCTCTCTCAGCCAAAATGCAACTGTTAATTATTAATCAATGAAAAACTATAAGCTGTGATCTTTATCCCGCGTATCTTTATGTGCGATTAAACAAAATGCAAAATTAATTTATAGTTTTAATTTCTATACTTTATAGTATATAGTTTACGTGGTATGATAGTTTATGACGCTCAGCTACATCGAAAAATAATTTATTATTTTAAGAGATATCCAAATATTTTTTATAACAATATTTTTTATAAACAATACTTTTTCGCAGAAACAACATTATTGTTTACGTTGATAGTATAAACAAAATTTATATTTTTTTGTTTCATCTATTGGTAGGATAGTTTTTTTTGCTCACAATGCAATAATAATCATTTATCGGTATCACGAATTGTTACGCTATTATTTTGAACTGCAAATATGAGCAGTGAACAACGGTCCAATTTAGATCAGACATATTGCCTGCTGCTGCAGGCAGAGGTTCGAGGGTGATCGAAGGGAGGAGAAGCAGTAGCGATGTGTTTGACTGTATTAGCTTGGGGGAGGGGAGGGGGAGGGGGAGGTGTATTTGCCTGAAGCAAACGGACGAAACCGGTAATTATATTTGGCGTCGATTCCTTAAGCACACATCAGTAGCTTACGGCGGAATGCGCTACAGATACTACGTCGATCAAAGGGGCGTTATGTATGTATCTGCCCAAGGGGTGAGGATGGACCTCGGAAATCGGTAAATACTAACGCGTGCATGATTGGAAGTTAATGACGCCGAGAATTAAAACCCAATACGCTTGTCATATACTATCGAATTCTGAATATGTAGGATTATTCGTATATGTTAAGGGTATTCGAATCAATCAATGATTGCTGGCCATTTTGACGGAAAGATGAATTTATGATATATTTGGGAGAAAAAATATATGAATGAATATCTTGTATCTGTGTACGTAATATTTCCTTTTTTTTTTTTTTTTTAAACGATATTGATTTTTTAAAGTATCAATAAAAATGGATTGCGTATTTATATCATAAACAATAAATAAAAACATCGTGATATAAGAAAAATAATAGCAGAAATGAATGTAAAAATACAAAAACTGTACCGTAGATGTCAATTTTTATTTCGGTATCTCTTTGAAAAATGCGAGGCAGTTTTAAAATGTATACATCATTTTTGGAGAGAGATCCTCGACCAGTTTTACGAACAGCTATTTGTAGACTCGTCTTATACAGGACGCAAGTACCAGAGCTACATGATTATAGATAGCATTTAGTAGCTCGCTACTAGAAGTGGGGCCGGTGAACAAGTATACGGACCGTTGAACTAATCTAAGGGATAAGTTAGGCTGGGTTAAACTACACGAAACCACGCTGCTATTAACTGAACCAGGTTAGAATCCTACAGTTCCGCCAAAAGTTTCCCGGAGTCTGCTAGATACGCTTTGCATCCTTCTCGTTCTTGTCGACCCCTAACTAATAGCTACTGGCGATCGCTGCTTTTATTACTGATAAATTGCATCTCTTGGCGAATATATGCATTTAGAATAACACGACGACAAGTAATAAAAAAAAAATATGAATAAATCGCGCTTAAGAAAAATTATTGTCAAAAATTTCACTTGGAAAAGAATCAATAGTATTTCTTGCAAGTTGCATGTCTACTGATCGAAACAAAAATAATCTTAAACAATCCTAGTGTAATTCCTCGTTAATCCCCGTTTGCGAAACTTTCTCCCCGATGAAACAAACTTGACTGAGGGACGTGCACTTCTTTCCGCAGTCGCGGAAAGTCTAAGACAAGAGGAGAAGGAAATTTTTGCGATTTAATTTCGAGATGAAAAGATAACTTTTCTTTATCCGCTCTCATTACCGGCGTCCGCGCGCTCATCCTTCAAAGCATTTTAATTTAATTCCGTTATAATTACATTCGAGGTTCGAGGTTAATTGCAATTAAGAGGCGAAGATCAATTAGACGGTAAAAAGGTACGCGATGAATAATCCCTTTCCTTCTTTGCAATGGGGATACGTGCTTTCGAATAATGTAAGTGAAATGTAGACACAAATATCTACTCTTAAGAGAAAAGATAATAAAAAGATCCCGAAGAGTGAGATATGTCTGGTTGCTTTCGAGAGAGTTCTTATTAAAAAAATGTTGTGAGAGATAATCTCATAGTCATCAAATATATGCATTAAAATAGAGTTTAATTATCGCTGATGTTCTTAATGTAATGTAAATGGCATTTAAGTAAATTGAAAGATAATGGTTCGGCTTGTGTGTCACAAAAAGATATAACGTTTACTATTACATGATATACGTACACAGGTGGAGGTGAAATCATAATTTTTATTTCCGTCCAAATATCAATCAAAGAAATTCAAAAATTCTCAAAGATGTCGAAGCCGTTCTTAAAAACCGCCCGTAATGCCGGTATAAATCACGCCTTTGGGGCGCAATTCGTAACGTTGAAAACTTGGGCTCTTTGTCAATTTAATCCGAAGTTTCCGCGAAAACATATTTTTCAGATAATAACTCAGTCCCGACACCTTTACCGAACCTCCACCTGCACATTCATATCCCGGGCTCGTAAATCAAGGAGCGGTCTTACCGCAAGGGTTTCCATTAGTCCCGGAAAAAAATTCACGGATGACAAATACGATTGTTTCAGCGACTCACCTGCAACACGAAAAAAAGAAGCAGATTTAGTATAATATTCCCTCACATTATATGCAGTTACATACATGTATGTATTGCGCTTGTATTAATTATATCGCACGCAATTCAAATGTCTCTTATTATATCGTACATTAATTACGCCATGATTTAATCGCATATATCCCGGCGTTTATTTTCAAATTTGGCATAACATTTTCTTGGCTAATTTATTTTCATGTTTATGCAAATACTACACATTCATGAAAATATATCTCGCGTATCATTTCATATTAATTGCAAGCTTATTTGGTAGATGTAATATAATATCTTTCATCGCATTATGTGTTGTGTAATTTTTATATTTTATAATTATTAATGTTGTCTGTAATATACTTCCCGCGTTAATTATTTTACCTGTTTACTCGTATTATTGTACGTAATTTTCATCTGTGAACAGCATATATTTATATATAGCAATCACGTACACACAATACGACAGTATACGACAGTATACGACATAATACGACGTTTATTTGTTTTTACGTAAACATTAGCCGCACGTTTACGCATTTACGCATTCCTTTTACTTTACATAATTCACTGCCTTGACTACAAGATCTCGAATAACAATTTAAACATATAAAACTTCCGGCGTTCCTCTGTTTCGCAAAGTAAACAGGTACTCGACAGAGTTTTTTCGCGTTCTTCAATCTCTGTCTGAAACACTTTTAACGAGAAGCAAATAAAAGTAATATCGTCTCGTTTGCGTCGTGATTAAAACGTAATTTCTGACTGTGAAAGATACTCGAAAGTTGCGATCCAAGGAGACATAAGATTCAGGCTTATCACGCGATCGTGACAATCTCTCGTAAAGCATTTGTTTTTCAAGTTAAAACTCCTTTCAACTCGCGTTTTCTCTCATACATACATCTTAATTCTCGTTTCTTAATATTTATTTTCTTACATATCATTTAAATCGCTTTAGCTTTGATAAACAGGTTTTCCTGACTCCAGAGCCAGAATGAAAACGAACCAATACATAAGTGCGTCAGTAAATCCGCGAATCTGTGCATATCAATCATATAAAGCGGTAATGGTAATCGATAAATCTTGGCGGGCCAATAAAATCGTATCAATCAATTGGGGCGAGTGCGGGTGGTACTTTTTCGGCTGACGTTTCCTCAAAGTTCTTCCGCAGATGTGCTCGTCCCCGCTCGACAAGGGGGAGGACGAAGCGAGCGAGACGTCGAGAGATCTCGAGAAATCAGCGCGAGGAAAAAAGGTCGACGAAACTTCGCGCCGGGTCCTCGAGATTCGACGAGGAAAATGACGAGGGAGGGAAGCCAGAGGGATGCGAGGGATGCGAGGGATGCGAGGGATGAGTCGCCCGAAGAAAGAGAGGAGGCGCGAAAAAGTTTCGTTGCAGTTCGGCCTGCAACATTCTCCCTGCCTGCAGAATCTCGCGTCGTTCGCGCCATCCCGGTGTGAGATACGTGCCGACAAACTTGCTGTATCGCTAAAGGAAACGCTAAAGTATACCCGGGAAAAAAGCAGAACCATGACGCGCGAATCTGAGAGATGATCGCGTCGATTTCTCTCTCAAATGCGAAAGATTTCACGACATGTTGTCGAGCGACGTTTCATCGATTCTTTAAAAAAAGTTGCAACTGATCTAATATTTATCTTGAGATATATATATATATATAAAAATATATATATATATATATGGGTCCACGTCAAATCAGTCACCCCCTCCTCCCGCCCAAAATTGTATTAAAGTAAATTTAACTTCTAAGGTACCAAAATTTAGCTTGAAACATCTAGTTTTTATGCCGTCCGTGGCGATTTTGAAAAATGTCAGAAGTTAAATTTACTTGGCTAATTTGACGTGGAATGACCCATATATATGACATAGATCATCATAAACTGTTTTAAAATTTCATTATACATTTCTGCTTATTTTAATGCATTATTTTTACGCAATCGAATTTCTATAAAATATTTTCGAGATATTTGATTCTATCTCAACGTCAGGAATTTCAAATAGATGTAAACGAATCTTGAATAACTTGGAGATTAATTTTAAAAATATCAATTTTAAATTATATTCGAGGAATCGACATCGGATAAATATGGAACAGTCTGTACTAGCCGTAATATGAGGGAATAACGTATTTTCAGGGGATAGCGCGATGGATGTAATCGATGCGGCAAATCTGCGGAGTCTCGAATATAGCAAGAAAGTTACGAAACTCGCACGGAAACACTCGTTAAACTTCTCGGCCCATCGCCGTGGGCTAACTATACCGGACATGCGTAGATATTACGAACCCTCAGTGTCACCATCGTCTTTTGGTGGCGTCTTACCGCAGGCCGCGCGGCAGTAACTTTTAATTCGCGTGCTCGACGTCGACCAATCTGTGTCGTGCGCACCCCTATTACTCCTGATAAGACCGGAATAATTTATTTACCGAGCACGAAGGATGCCATCACGCGACCCCTTCTTACGTCCTTTCTTCGCGCCGGCAGAAAGGAGCGACGCGTAAAGAGAAACGCAAGGTGTTCTTTCCCTAATGGATATCTTGTTGATAAAATAATCTCTTCGATCATTTCAGAATTTTTTCCTAATAAAAGTTCCTTTAAAACAGACGGTAAATGTATATAAGTATATAAATTTAAGAAAGATCTCACGATCTATTGAACAGTTTTATTTATATAAACCAGTGTAAGTTTATATAATCTTGTAAAATACAAAATTTTTCTATCTATCTCAAAATGCTTTTCATATTAATACGTTACAATTTTGAAAAGAAACCTTCCGTTCTCTGATCAAGTCAGATGAGTTGGATTAAAATTGGAAGAAGCATGGTTCAGCTGTTAAAGGTATCCAAATGACTCGTCACTGTCTAGTCATCCATTTCAATGTGCCTTTCTGTGGCTGCCACGAGATCCGAGAAATTGTCTGACAATGAGCGAGAGAGTGGTAGATGAAACCAGAAGGGGTTCTGTAGTTTCCTTTGTGACGTGATCGATGATCCTGCGCAGGACATCGTATCCTTCCTTCCTTCCTTCCTTCTTGCTATGAACTTCAGCGCACCTCGCTCTCCCACCGCCGTAGAATTTAATTATTTCTCGCGAAGATTTCTATTTTCTCAGATAAACTTAATATAATCATAAATTTATGACAAGTACGTTGGGTTAGAGATAAGAAGCAGAAATAATATAAAATAGTCAAATTTAAAAATAATTAATTGCGCGAAATTTCTCAATGTTTGACCAGAAGTATTTTCATGAAAAATATTATAAAATAAAAATGTGGCAAAAAATGACAGCTCTTACAGAAATAAATACGTTTCTCTCTAGAATTTAATACTCAACTTCTCGAGAATAAATTTATACCGGAAAAAGAATGCTAAAATATAATTATAAAGAAAATACACAAAGTAGCGTAAAAATTAAGACAAAAAGCCGTAATTAAAATTTGCAAGAATTCTTTTCAAATCTCTCAAACAAGGGAAAACGCTGTTAATGTAAGTACAAGAACCAGCGAAAAGGGATTGCGGGCGTATGCAGAGGAAGCTGAAGGGTGAGGGAATAGAAGGAACGTGTTACAGCGAGGAAGAAAAATTATATGAAGCGTAATCGCTGCCTGAGCGTAAGCGACTATACCTCGAGGCTGCCGAAATCGTTTTCATTTTCTAACGCAGTTAGGATTTCATTACGCGATATTACGATTGCCACCCCTATCGTGACGTGCTATAAAATCGTACTACCTGACGCTCTCATTATTTATATATGGATGGTTGAATCGAGTTTGTGGAAAACGAACATTTATATCGCATAAGTGTGATTTGATAATTCCCCGAATGTTCGTGAGCGCAATAGTTGATAAGCACCTTGTAGAACGTTTTATTAAAATCGAAAATCGAATAACGTAGGATATGAAATTTAAATGCAAATTAATATGTATCATATAATATTGATTACAGCTTATCTAGGGATGCGATTAAATCGGATTTATTATTGTTTAGGTTTGCTTTTTGAAATTTTCATTTCATTATTCCTTCTCAATTGATAAAAATATAATCACAAATACATATAATATATAAAATCAATGTGTAAAAAATAAAAAATAAGTTTATTTTAGTAAATGTAAAAACATAATACTCGAATACACATATTATTATTATACTTCTCGCGACGATATATTAATAATTTGTTTAAATCTTTTTTGAGAAAAAGAAACATATACTGTAATAATACAATATAATATATTGTACTCATGTTATCCATTGTATAAATGGTTTCAATTAAATTTTACAAATATTTCGATATAATTTTTATACGTTTTATTTTCATCAGTAACGTTGTTTATTGTCGAATTTATTTATATTCTGCGATATACTTAAAATACTTCTTTTTTCTAAAGTTCCCTTATACTCAACTGGAGGCAAAGCGGCCAGCTGCATTACCGCCTGCAGAAGACTGCATTGCGAGCAGTGGGTAGAACTGACATTTACTGGCAGTCCGATGTTAATCGAGTTCAATGCGCCCTACAACGATAACCTGTTTTTCTGCATCTTGCATGTATATGCATTATTGCCGTTCCGCTACGAGAAATGATCCTCGATCGATAAACATATCCGATAAAATAGTATACACCAACAATAAATATTAAAAAAAAAAAAGATAGAATATTCCGCTTTGTAATTTTAAATTCAATTATACCGTTATAGTCACAATTATACTGTTACAGTTGTGTTAAATTAATTAGACAAAAATATTATTATAGTTCTACTAGAAATTTAATTGTAATAAATTTATTATGCAGAGGCACTCGAAATATAATCTATTTTAGGAATATAATTACAGGAAATATAATTTATTTTATAATTTTATTTAAAGTTTGTCAGATTTCAATGATTCCCACGATGTGAAACATCGCGCACAAAAATATCTGTCCTGCAAAAAAGGACAGAGAAAAATCACTCTTACTGTCAATGTAATTTATATCCGAAAAA